TGAACCACCCAACGGTCCCGGATATTGCGACTAAAATCTTAATAATACAAGAGATAATCAAAAAATACGATCATTCTACCAGGGTCCGGCAATAGTGCGTCGGGCATCTGTAGGTCCTAGAATAACAAACTTGGGAATTTTGTTTAAGTGCAGATCTAAAGTATGTTCTAGGATGTATTCTTCCTTTTAAAAAAAATCATCCGGATCCACTCACACTTTTTTGAGCCACCACAAGTTAAAATATTTTCCTGAAATACATCTTTGTACATATTTTAGATTTACACTTAACCAAAATTTCCAAGTTTTTTATTCTAGGAGGTACAGAATCTGCCCGACGCACTATTGCCGGAGCAGAGAGCAGTTTTAATCAGAAATATTTCTGTTTTAAGAAATCTTATAATAAAAATTCTGTTCCAAAATGTTTTATAATTAGGAAACAATATATTATCACTTTTAAACAAGTGAAATAATCGACTTTGACTAAGTATAAAGTATAAACAATTAACTATATAATTACCTCAAAGATAAACAAGAGATATATACTTACCTATACAAATATTTAATGCACTTATTGTTACTCTTATTAGCATTACAAGTATAAGTAAATAGAATAAGACAATCGTTGATTGATCAGTTTAAAAAAAAATAACCCAAATTACTTTGTAGAGTGCTCTTTAATGATAAGATTTTTTTGAAATAGTTACAATGCAATATTATTCATTGTTCATTAATATTTCATTTATTCTCCAATATCTTTTAAACTGTCAAATATAAGTGCTTATATTATACATCAGATTTTATTCAACAGCAGCACTATTTATAAAACATTAATAATGATCCGCAAATAAATAATTTATACCTACCAAGTGTTTTTCAAGAGTTTGATCACATGATCACCTCTATAACTTTTTTATTTATCCACATAAAAGCATAACATAAAAACTTCCTGTTTCCAGTGGCGGCTCGTGACCCGTGTGACTGAGGGGTAGACAAAATTTTAGTTGCGTCTATTGGCCCCCCTCCTCCCCCTACCCCATTTAACAAGCTGTACAACAATTTTGTTGCCCTCCGATATTTAAATTAAGCGGATGACCCCGGTATAATAATAATAATATACCAAGTTAATAATAATAATAACCTGACCTCAAATTGCCAATTTTATAGCTATATAATCAAAATGATGTTTTCAGTAGTTTGTGAGACTACAAACGAATACATTAGATAAGATGGCCGGTATATTATAAAATAAACGTTAACGGGGAAGACCCACGATTTTTTAAACAAATACGAAATTTATAATTTATTTAAATATATATATATATATATATATATATATATATATATATATATATATATATATATATATATATATATATATATATATATATATATATATATATCTTTAGTAAAATCAAGGGTAAAATGATATCGATAGTCATACAGGAAGATAACAGTATTTGATTTCTTTAAATTTTTGTATTGGTGTATATTAAGCGCAGTGATAATACAGAAGCGATATAATGAAGGTTTTGATATGTGGCGGTAGCCCTGATTTTTACCGGGTGTGTTGATTGTTATATAGTGAACTTTGGGGCCGTTATATGTGGCCACAAAGGGAGAGATTTGGCCAAAACCACAAGACCAAGTGAAATCAGAAGATTATTTTGTTATTACCCCAGAAAATTTTACATTTTTAGTAAGTATATAAATTAAGTATTTAATATTTTACAATTACTAAAACAAGTTATTTATTTTTATGCAATGCATATTTATTCAGCTTGCAGAGAACAGTGGAAATTGTCTTATTCTACAAAATGCTTTCGAAAGGTACTTCAAAATACTTCAACAAAATACCATTTCACAAGCGACAGTTCGTCGACTTAAGTCATTTAGGGCGAATTTAACTGAAGGATCGAACTTGGGTTTGATAACAAATCTAACAGTTAACTTGAATGGAGAATGTTCAGATAATGACTACCCTAGTTTAGACATTAATGAGACATGTAAGTTGAAAATACAAAATAATATGAACAAACGTGATATTTTTTTAAGCCATACGTACCTACATAAAGTTGTACCTATATAATCAAGTTACTAAACAAATTACAGTATTTTTGGGCATATTTAGTACTAATCTTTTTTGTAATTTAAATATAAATTTTACTATCAATAATTTTATTATATATAACATATCAAATACCTACTTTATTTCAAAATTGATAATAATGTGATATTTTAAAAATGCAAATATTTGTCTATATAAATGCCTACTTGAAATAATCAATATTTGACGTTCTATGACTTTATCTGATTTTTCTTAAATTGAATGCAGTATCTTTCAAATTATGATATGGACGATAATAATAAAAAAATACTTGCGATTAAAAAAAGTATACTTATTAAAAATTTTATAATTTATTATGCTAACATTTATATAATTAATTTCCCAATACTTAAAAATACTTTTAAATTTTCGAAAGCCTAAAAATGTTTCCCTTAAGTCAATGAGTAATCACTCCACAAAATTTTAAATAAGTAAGATATAGATATTTATAGAAACATATAATAAAAACTGGTAAAATAGAACACTAATTCATCATAATTTCTATGATCATAATACAAAATACATACACCAAAATACTTTTCTTTTTAAACACATTACGTGCGTTTTGCTGGCTAACATGGTTTGCTAATGCAAATCATGTTAGCATTACCAGTTTTAATCATCTGCTAGCAAAACATGGTTAGCGAAACGCGAGTTCAGTATTTAAATGTAAAACACGTATTGTGGTTAATTAGTGTTTTATTTTGCTGTTGTAAGACCAAAGGTTCCTACACCCAACTGTAACAAAAACTAATATTCAATATTGAATACTACATAAATATTATCTATTAAATATTTCATCAATTCATTATTATTTATGAATTCATTATACTACAGCAGTATAAAATAAAAAAAATTGTGTGTGCACTATGTGCGCATATTTGAAGTGAAATTTCTTCTTACTTCCGTCTGCCTGTCTGTCCGCCTGCCTGTCTGTCCGTCTATGCACTCCATTGTAGTACCTCTATCCACTTACCTAGTTTGGTTACAATCGACCCATAATTAAGGAAAATCCTGATGATTTCGTCCATTTAGGGGCATCGGTTCGAAAAGTCGACGGCGTCATCATGTAGCCCGTCTCTAATTATGCCGAAATCGACTCACATAAATTATAAATTATTATCGTGACACACTCGCGTCTCGTGTGTCACAACCTTCAATTTTTACTCCCATCGCGCGTAAACAAGTTCACTTCAAAAAACATTGAAATATTAAAAAAAATATTAGTTATTATTTTTTAGACATATTAAATGTTACTCAATCAGTTGTCCAACTCGCATCATCCTCTATATGGGGTATTTTAAGAGGTCTAGAGTCATTTTCACAGTTACTTTATTTAGGATCCGATGGATATACTGTAAGGGTAAAACTTCAAAATGTTTTAAAATTGGAATGGAAAGATAGATTTAATGGTGTTTTTCTTGTAGATTCGTCTTAACAGCACGGAATATATGATTATCCTAGATACAAGCATAGAGGATTGCTTCTAGACACCTCTAGACATTTTATTCCTTTGAAACAAATCTATCAAATTATAGATGCACTCGAATACAATAAAATGAACGTCTTTCACTGGCATTTGGTCGATGATCAGAGCTTTCCTTTTGTCAGCCAAAAATTTCCAGAACTTAGGTAGGTATCTATATAAAATCTATTCGACGAAAAAATATAACAGTGATAATAATGTAATAATATAATAGGTAACCTATTATTTTAAGCAACTATAAAATCTTTACAGCCAATATGGTGCTTATGATCCAGAACTTTATGTCTACAATACCACTGATGTGCAGGCCGTTATCGAATATGCCAGACAAAGAGGTATCAGAGTAATGCCAGAAATTGATACACCTGGTAAGCTTCCATATAAATGCAACTTTTAATTCTTTATCCGTAAAAAACAACATTATCATTAACAGGACACACTAGATCATGGGGTGCTTCACATCCAGAAATTTTAACAGATTGTTCTGTTGTACAATCTGGAGCTTTGGGGACCTCTGGACCCTACGAAAACAGAGACTTACACTTTTCTAAACGATCTATTATCCGAGGTGAGGGGTGTATTTAAGGACGCTTACATCCATCTTGGTGGTGATGAAGTTGGTTTTGAGTGCTGGTAAAAAATACAAGATTGATAATCTTAAAGTACCTACAATTATTGAAAAAATGTGTTTTAGGGAAAATAATGAAGATATAGTTAAGTATATGGCATCTAACGACATAAGTACATATGAAGACTTGGAAAGCTATTATATTCAAAAAATAATCAATTCAGCGAATTCTTTGAAGTTCAATTCAATTGTTTGGGAAGAAGTATTTGTAAACGGAGTAACTTTGCCCAACGATACTATCGTACATGTTTGGAGAGATTATGGGAACTTCAAGTGGGTCGAAACAATGAAAAGCGTTAGTTCGTGATGATATATTATATTTTTATTAATTATTTTTTTATATATAAAATAGGTAACGGAATCTAATAAACCAGCTTTACTATCAGCCTGTTGGTATTTAGACCATCTTCAAACTGGAGGAGATTGGCAAGGATTTTATGAATGTGATCCAACGAATTTTGGTGGTAATGAAGAAGAACAAAATCTCGTACTTGGAGGTATGTAATCCGTACTATTACCAACGAATTTTAATCAATCCAGTAAGAGAATATACGTATATGTCAACAGACCACATCGAAAATATCATAACAAAACTTTTCAATTCAATTTTCAGACAAATGTTACTGTCTTATACTCTTATTTCATCGGAAAGATTGTTTTTGCGTAGAAAACTGAACTTTAGTTTTATGTACTGTGTCTGTAGTCAGAGCAGATGTCTCTGGTCAGGGTGAAACCCATTTGAAACCACAGCATCGTAGGAAAGGCCAGAACCACGGATCGGTGTATCGATTTCCAGAAGTTTTATTGGCTGAAATTTTTGACAGATACATTTTCGAAAAATTTTAGCTAATACAATAGAATTGCTAAAGATACGCCGTTCTGCTTTTCCTGTGATGGTCTGAATTCACATTCAAATATCAAGAAAGAAAGATTTCGAATTTCGCCAGACTACCAATAGTTTCTAAAAAATGACAGAAAATGCATTTTACGCAAATACGTTTGGTTTGGTTTATGTGTGCATCAAAATACAACTGTCACTGCCGTGTATCTTCTCGTTGAACATACTATATAAAGAATCGACAGTGTTTTAAATAAGCACACTTAATTTGTTTCCTGTGAAGGAGAGCTTTGATTAATTTTTAATTATAACGGAAATTTTGTTACAAGATTTAAGATCCAAGTCAAGTAATAAAATCACTTAAAAATGGTTTGGTCTATCAATAGGATCCATGACAGTTATTTTAACTCACAGGTAAATGGTAGCTATAGTCTGTCCAACGACAAAATCCTTGACAGTGATAGATGTGTCTGTCATTTTAATTTCAAAGTAGTTTATTTTATTTTACAAAGAAATAAGTTGATACAATTGGAACACATAATTAATATATTTAAATTTTGAGTGACAAGTGATTACTTCAAAATATTGTGAAAAAAAAACGTATAAAACTGAAAAAATCAAATCTTGGTTAATTAACGTTAATCTTACTTTTTTCTGCAGTACTAAAATGTATTATTTACCTATTGTGTGATGTTATTTTACAGATACTCCAGTTTTTGGTACCGTATACGAGATCGTATACAACTTTATTTGTGGCTAATACAACTCTCTGGCCATAGTCTGTGGCAAACTGTGTTTCTGGCGGTCTCTGGGCATAATATACATAATTTTCCCTAGAGTTTTCCTCCGCTTAATTTTAAAAAACACGAAACACAACACAGTCCAAAATGCTAAATATTTATCATTTCTATTTGAGAAAATTTGACGCAAAATTATAACCTATAATTTGGCAAGTGTTTGACAAATCTCAAAAAATCTTAAGTCGAGTTCATACGCATCGGAGGCCGTTTGTCGTTCATCGTTGCGTCAAACCAATAATATTGAAATATGATCTGTCGTTTTTGAAATAAACCAATAAAGCCCTGTTCTCAGAACAACGTCGTGTCGCGGGCGACACAGTTTGACATTTCAAATAACCAATGGGAGCTGTACTAAATTTAAAATTGACAGCTGTTTGAATTTTGTACAAATCTCATTGGTCCTCTTGACGTGTCGCTGGCGACAGTCGCTGTTCTGAGAACGGGGCTTAAAACTGGTTAAAAACAACAAGTGACGACGCATGACGAATTTATATTTAAACCCATCCATAGTTAACTTAAAAAATATTAGAAACTTTTTTTAGTGAAATAAATAGATTGGTAGAGAAGTCATCTGCTTTTTTTCTGTCATCGTCTGTCGAAATCTCACCTGAGAAAAAAAACAGAGTATACTCATCAAAAATATAAAAAAAGTTCCTATAAACATGAGTTAGTATGCATAGTTTTAAAGTTACAATAAGATGTTAAAACTTTAAAAAATATAGGTCTTTTCTAATTATCTTAACCATTATTATCTTGGAGAATTTGATGTAGCACTGTACAGGGTGGACTATCTTGCTTGTTTCTATAGGGTATCTAGGAAACCGTGAGAAATATTCAAATTTTGATACTGTAGTCTCGGGTTCTTTTTTTTAAAAAATCACAATGCCGCAAACGAATCGTGGCTATCTTGATCGGTTTCAAAGCTACAGGGGGATTCTCAAATTTTGTACTTTTTGAAGATGTTCGAGAGTATGTTTATTTCAACAACTAGGCAAAAATGAACTAACATCTCTAAAGGCACCTTTCTGTGTAGAATGCAGTGGCGTATTTCGTAGACTTTTCGAAAAATATTTTTAGATATTAACTATACTTATGTTTTTTTAAATACAACCCCTGTATATTTTAAATTTCCTGATTCAGTTTGCCATGTGCTTCTCGAAAATATATATAACACTATATATTTATTTCCACTATTAACCTTAAAATTCCAATTTATTTAAAGATATCGACTTTCCTCTTGATAGGTCATGCCGAGTAGCAATACGTAACTGAAACGAAGTAACAA